CTCCGACCGTCGCAGTACCAGCCCCCATCTTCGCGAAAATTCACATCGACACAATGCACATGCCGGCCTCGGGCGGATACAAGTACTTGGTCCAAGGTAGATGCTCGCTCACGACTTACCCCGAGTTTCGAATGCTTCGAAAAGAGACAGCGAAGGCCCTCGCCGACTGGCTCTTCGAAGACATCCTCTGTCGATGGGGCGCGCTCAGTGAGATCGTCACCGACAACGGTACGGTGTTCATCAAGGCGGCCGATTACCTTTCGAAGAAGTACCACATCAACCATATTCGAATCAGTGGGTACAATTCGAGGGCGAACGGTCTCGTCGAACGTCCGCACTTCAGCACGCGACAAGCCTTGTTTAAGACAGCCGACGGAGATGAGAAGAAATGGTCCCAAGCTGCGTACTTTGTATTTTGGTCCGAGTGCATCACGACTCGACGACGCATGGGCTGCTCTCCCTATTTCGCTGTTATGGGCACCCATCCGCTCATTCCTTTCGACATCGTCGAAGCTACGTATCTGCAACCACCACCGACTTCGGTCCTTTCGACAACAGATCTCATCGCCCGTAGGGCCATTGCGCTTCAGAAACGCGTCGAGTAAGTCACCGAACTCCACTCGAAGGTCTACGAAGCACGTCGAACTGCAGCAATTCGCTTCGAGAAAGAGCACGAGCACTCGATCCAGGATTTCGACTTCAAGCGCGGAGCCCTCGTACTCATACGCAACACGAAGATCGAGAAGTCCCTCAACCGCAAGATGCGCCCGCGATATCTAGGCCCCCTGATCGTTGTCTCGCGCAACAAGGGCGGCGCATACATCGTGTGCGAACTCGACGGTACAGTCCTCGATAGACCCATCGCAGCCTTCCGCGTCATCCCGTATTTCGCGCGCAAATCCATTCCGATTCCCGAAGATCTCGAAGATGTCTCGACCGAGCGTCTTCGAGAACTCGAACTATCAAATTCGCTAGGCGACGACGACGATGATGAAGTCGAAGAAGCCGAAGAACGCGACGAATAGAGGTTCTTCCCTTACTTGTAGAACACGATACGTACTTTCTTCTCTCCATTCCTGCTCTCACGTTACGCGATATGTTTGATTTTCTCCTACGTTCCAGACCATCCTTTGTACGAATACCTTCGATTCAACTCAATAGCCGCGACATCGTTCGACGTTCTACGAACACTTCGATTCGACCGTTGCGCGGAGGCTCACCTTAGACGAGTCCTCCTAGGCTGTGATGACAAACTGAGCCTATATTTTCATTAAGTCCATTTTCCCTTGCTACGAACGTTTCTATTTTTCCTTCTATGTCCTTCGATCATATTACGACTTACTTCGAACACGCTTATTTTCATTTCCTTTTCTTAGTTCCCACTAGGTTTCGTCTAGGCCAAAGGCCACATTTTTGATTCGACTATGGACACAATATTCTACGACATAAGGACAACTACGATACAAGACGACCCGCACCATCGCCTACTCATCGTCGACAGCCCCGCGCACGAACCCGATTCCCCCCTTCGCGAGCGCGGCCTTCTCCATCTTCTGGAGGTCGAGGTCCATGTCATGTAGGAGCGCTCGACGGCGCGCGATGTGAGCACGCTCCTCGCGAATGACACGGATGATTCCCCGAGACTCGTCGTCGAGGTCGAGTGCATCGAGGTCGTCCTGCTCGAGCCCAAGGCGGCTGGCCCCATCGAGAGGCCGTCGTAGAAGGGGTCGCGGAGGCTCGTCGACTCGGCGCTTCTTCGAACCACTCGCGTCCGCGACCGAAGGCCCAGGAGAGGCCGGCCGAACTACGAAGTCGTCAGCGAAGGCCTAGAACAAGAAGAAACGACTTACTGCGCTTCTTTGTGGTTGATCCCCCGCCGCGCGTCTTCTTCGTTTTGCCCAGGACAGACACCTTGTCGAAGTAGCAGCCCTGTTGGAACTGCGCGCACCTATCGCAGGTCGTAGCGTTCTCGGCCCACACGCAATCGACCGGGGCCGAACGGTAACCGGCGCAACGATCACACTGTCCAAGAGTTTAACATCGAACCGCTTCGATGAAGAGTCGAGCTTACCTTCTGTCCCGACTGGCGCTTCTCAATCGCCGCGGCGGCCATGTCGACCTCGGTCATCGCGAGCGGACGTTCAACCGTCCGAGGAGTCTTCTACGAAAGAGAGATTAGTCACCGAACGACGATAGAAGAAAATACTTACGATCGAAGGGTCGTCCGACAGTTCGGCGACTTCCTCGTCGACCCTCGCGCGCCCCTTCCCCTTGTCGACACCGGCAGGCGAGGGGTCAGAAAGAAGGCCCTCGGCGGCCGCGATCCTCGCCAACTCTTCGTCGGCGGCCTCTTGCGCGCGACGTTCGTCTTCGAGGCGCCGTTCCTCTTCCTCCTTCCGACGCCGTTCATCTTCGAGGCGACGGTCCTCGGCGGCCTTCGCACGCTTCGCGGCCTCTTCGATGCGGCGTGCTTCCTCTTCGGCGAGGCGCTTCTGCTCTTCGAAGCGTCGTTTGACCTCGGCGTCGATGGCGGTCGCGAGCTCGGGCCAGTCCCCGCGCGCCCACTCGACCCACGATTCCGATGCCCGCTCGGCGAGTTGCTTGACGGCGGCGGCAACGCGCAGCTCCGTCTCCTCGTCGCGGATGGCGCCCAAGGCCTTGCGATAGGCGAGCTGTTCGAAAACAAAGGGTTAGTTGGGTTATGCAGATTTACGAGCGACTTACCACGAGCGGCGACAAGTCTTGTGCCCACTCTTCGACCACATCGAGCGCGGCGTCGGCCGTCGGCGGAGCTTCGAGGACCGCGAGCAGCGAGGCGAGGCGGCGGTTGACGAGAGAGGGAGTTGACGCAGGGGTGGCAGAGCGAGCAGACATCATAGAAGCAGAGGAAGTATACGAGAGAGGACGACGAGGTAGCGACAAAAGAACGATGGGATGGGGAAAATAAGGCTAAGTCTACCCTGCTTATAACCCCTTTCCGACCAGCATTTAGCGCCGGCCACGTGGCGTTCGAAGTCTACACGGGTTGCCAGGCCGCTTCGATCCATTCACGACCATCGCACTTCTCGCATCATGTGGAGGACCGAGGGCGGTCCAAATTTCAATAGGGAGGAGATGATAGGCGCCAAGCCCCTCTGGGCCCCGATTCACCTCTTTTCGGCACTCGCATCCCGCCCGGCACTTCGACTCAGTCCCCCAACACTTCGATTTCGACTTCGACGCTCTTCAACACCTTCGACGGTGCGCGACGCTTACTCGAAGCTCGGCACGGTCTTCCCGATGCCTTGTGCGTAGATCTCGGAACGTCTTCCGCATTCGGCGAACAATAGGGCCACTTGACGCCGCTCGGCCAAGCGCGCGCTTCGCTCCAAGCCACACCGAAGTAGCCGGTCTTTCCCGATTAGGTATCGAACCTCGCGGTGATACGACCTACGAAACCCTAACCCCTAACCTGGGTGCGACCTAAAGGGACTAGAGAGACGGCTTATAGTCTAATGAGAGGGGAGTTAGCAGCAAGGTGTCCCGCGGTTCGAGTGAACCCGAGAAACGCCCTTGGGAAAGGTTACGAACAAACGAGTAGGTACAAGGTGGCTTCAACACGTCGTCGAAGCTACTCGGAAGCTGTGGAAAGTTAGCGACGATCGAAGCTCGGCAGAGCTCTTCGATGTATCGTAGAGAGAAGGGACACGATTCGATGGGGTGTACTTAGCTAGGGCGCGGTTCGCGGTTTCTTCGACAATAGTCGAAGTCGAAGGGTTCGTCGAGACGGTATCGACGAGTAAACGCAGTGGACGAGGTTTCGAAGTTACGCAGCGAGGGACGAAGTGACGCAGTGGAAGCTTTTACGCGGGGTGAACTCGACTTATGAGCTCTGAACTCGAGGGGGGGGAACGGATCTTTTATTTTTAGAGAGAAGTACGACAGGTTTTATACTATACAGGACGCTACGACTATTCGAGAGTGGCATACGAGTACAAGGGGCTTTGCATTGTTCCTCAAGAAGCTGCCTCACCGAGGGGCACATACCAAGTCCATCGGTAGAATGACGTCATGCCGAACGCGGAGATGAAGAGCAACATATGGCCACTTCGGACCGGTAGCCGTCGTGAAGGCATGCCGCGAGGTTCGATACCTAATCGGGAAAGACCGGCTACTTCGGTGTGGCTTGGAGCGAAGCGCGCGCTTGGCCGAGCGGCGTCAAGTGGCCCTATTGTTCGCCGAATGTGGAAGATGTTCCGAGATCTACGCACGAGGCATCGGAAAGACCGTGCCGAGCTTCGAGTAAGCGTCGCGCACCGTCGAAGGTGTCGAAGAGCGTCGAAGGCGAAATCGAAGTGTTGGGGACTGAGTCGAAGTGCCGGGCGGGATGCGAGTGCCGAAAAGAGGTGAATCGGGGCCCAGAGGGGCTCGGCGCCTATCATCTCCTCCCTATTGAAATTTGGACCGCCCTCGGTCCTCCACGTGATGCGGGAAGCGCGATGGTCGTGAACGGATCGAAGCGGCCTGGCAACCCGTGTAGACTTCGAACGCCACGTGGCCGGCGCCAAACGCTGGTCGGAAAGGGGGTTATAAGCAGGGTAGACTTAGCCTCATTTTCCCCATCCCATCGTTCCTTCGTCGCTCTCTCGTCGCCCTCTCTCGCATACTCACTCTGCTTCTACGATGTCTGCTCGCTCCGCCACCCCTGCGTCGACGCCTTCGCTCGTCAACCGCCGCCTCGCCTCGCTGCTCGTGGTCCTCGAGGCTCCGCCGACCGCCGACGCCGCGCTCGACGTGGTCGAAGAGTGGGCGTAGGATTTGTCGCCGCTGGTCGTAAGTCGCTTCGTAATCTGCATAACCCAACTAACCCCTTGTTTTCGAACAGCTCGCCTATCGCAAGGCCCTGGGCGCCATCCGCGACGAGGAGACGGAGTTGCGCGTCGCCGCCGCCGTCAAACAACTCGCCGAGCGGGCGCCGGAGTCGTGGGTTGAGTGGGCGCGCGGGGACTGGCCCGAGCTCGCGACCGCCATCGATGCCGAGGTCGAACGACGCCTCGAAGAACAGAAGCGCCTCGCCGAAGAGGAAGCACGCCGCGTCGAAGAGGCCGCAAAGCGTGCGAAGGCCGCCGAGGAACGTCGCCTCGAAGACGAACGGCGTCGGAAGGAGGAAGAGGAACAGCGCCTCGAAGACGAACGTCGCGCGCAAGAGGCCGCTGATGAGGAGTTGGCGCGGATCGCGGCCGCCGAAGGCCTTCTTTCTGACCCCGCGCCTGCCGGTGTCGACAAGGGGAAGGGGCGCGCGAGGGTCGACGAGGAAGTCGCCGAACTGTCGGACGACCCTTCGATCGTAAGTATTTTCTTCTATCGTCGTTCGGTGACTAATCTCTCTTTCGTAGAAGACTCCTCGGACGGTCGAACGTCCGCTTGCGATGACCGAGGTCGACATGGCCGCCGCGGCGATTGAGAAGCGCCAGTCGGGACAGAAGGTAAGCTCGACTCTTCGTCGAAGCGGTTCGAAGCTAACTTTTCGATAGTGCGACCGTTGCGCCGGCTACCGCTCGGCCCCGGTCGATTGCGTGTGGGCCGAGAACGCTACGACCTGCGATAGGTGCGCGCAGTTCCAACAGGGCTGCTACTTCGACAAGGTGTCTGTCCTGGGCAAAACAAAGAAGACGCGCGG